TGTGTGTGTGTGTGTGTGTGTGTGTGTGGTTTCCTCCCTCGCCGCGTGGTCTGTCTGTTTTCTGTAGAACCTGTGGGAGGGGAAAGTTACCGTCTACCTGTTGTCAGCTGACAGGGACAGTGCCCTTTGCCAGCTGTGGTCCTACCCGTGTTCCCTTCCTTGGGTCAGCTAGCCACAAGGCTTGCTCATGTCACAGGAGGCTGAGTAGGCCGCTGACGTCCGTGGCGGCCTGTGATGGAAGGCAGCTGACCGGGGTCACAGTCTGCTCTTGGTGGGAGGGGACTGGCCACAAATGCACACTCAACCCAGGGAGGAGGAGGAGGAGGAAGGAGGCTCCCTCCAGTGTCCGTCTGTGAGTAAATAGTTGTGAAAGACTTCAGAGGAGCTGGTTATGGTCCCTTGTACCTGTCATCCCTGCACTCCGGAGGCTGAGGCACAGGATTGCTGCGGGTTTGAGGTCGCCTTGGACTGCACAGTTTAACACCAACCAGGGCTACGTATCAAAACCTTGTCTCAAAAATAGGGTAGGTAGGTAGATGGTAGATAGACAGACAGACAGACAGACAGACAGGCAGGCAGTTAGCCGAGTTGGGCACTAATCACCTGTGGTCGCATCCTAAACGAGGCTGAGCAGAGGGTGGGTTAGGATTTGGGCTGGAACTGTCGCTGCACATAAACTGGTACTTGGCAGTGGCTTTAGACAGTACCTTCTGTGGTGCCAGAGCAAAAGGGAGGTGCCCAGTGGTCTGTGAGAGACAGCAGAGTCGAAGGAAAGGCTCTTCAGAAATCCCCATGGGGCATCTTGTAGGTTCCCCATACAGAATGCCCAGACATCAGGCTGGTGTCTGGTGGTGACTGGGATGTAGCGTGTGGTCTCAGTGGGAAAACTGGTGTATGTGAAGCTCTCCTCTCTGTGGGAGGAGAGTGGCCGGGCCCCAGCACTGGTGAGGTCATCACCCGTCAGGGAGACCAGACAGCAAGGGGGTTGCCACCCACCCCCCTTACTGTAGCTGCATGGGGCAGGTCCTTCAAGGTCCCTCTGCTGAGCCTATACCAGGCTGTCAGCGGTGAAAGTGCTAGGCACCCTTGTCTTCTATGGGAGCCAGCCCTGGTCAGAGGCACTCAGTGGCTGACACAGACTCTCGGGCAACAAGCTTCCTGCTCGCCTCTGGCCGTAGAACACTCTTGAGTGAAGACCTGCGAAAAACCTGGGTGAACTGTCAAACCAGCACTGGTGGACACGTGGTTGTTCACGTCTGAGAGAGGGTGATCTCGGGAGGCTGCACACAAGGAAAGAAGCCTTCCTTCTCATCTCTCACAGGGCAGCTTGGCACTCTACACCCAAGGCTTCCCACCTCTATCCGCTCAGGGTCAGGACCTACCAGCCCCCGACACTGCTGCCTGCCCACAGCATAGCATATAGACCCGCTCCTGGCCCGGCACACAAACTCAAGTGAAGCACAGCTGTGCTTGAGGTACTTAGGGTGACAAGACTGGGGAGGGAACAGCCCAGTTGTTGGAAGCATTGGAAGCATGTTCATAGACAACAGGCAAAAGGCAAATGGAGTCAGCCAACTACTGACTGCCCCAGAGACGGTGCTCCTCAGCCAGAGATGATCGCAGAGAACCACCTTAAGCCGTCGTTGGAACCCTGAGCTGAAGATAGCTAAGCAGCGTGCCTGCATCAGGGAGGTTCTTCTCTCCCATGACTTGTGTCCCACAAGTCCCAAGCCCTTGCCACTCAAGCTGATGGGAACTGGAGAGGGTGGGCAGTGACGCTCACTGTAAAAGTCCCCAAGGGAGGAGAGAGTGACCTTAGAAAACTGAATGACAAATTTGGTATCCAACAGCATGAACCAGATCAGCACTAGGTGACGTGTAAACGTCAGAAGAAGAAAAAAAAAAAAATCTCTGTGGTCTGAGGATACCAAAATAACCCTGTTGACACAAGATGTAGCAGAGAGGTAGGACATGTCATCACTACAGAGATAGGGTATCAACCTGCAGGACGGACAGTAGTAATGAAATGACATGGTGACATGGGGTTGAAACTGGTTGAACATGCTTAACGTAGACGCTTCTCACGGGCTCAGGGCTCTGTCTTTGACCTGGCCTGTTTAGACGATGCCATCAGTAGTGATTCGAATGAACTTTGGAGGTTTGCTAAGCATACTTGGGATACAATACTGAGAAGGATGATGACCAACGGCAGATAGCATTAAAAGTAACTCCTTTGGGTTGGCGGGACAGCAGGCAGAGATGCACACAGTCATCTCACCTAGACGGTCCTTGTAGGATTTGTGAAACCTCTCCTGAGTGTATCAGGCAGGTGAAAATTATCAAGTTTTTAGCAGGCTTCTGCTAAACTCATCAGCCCTGTTCATGTGTTGTAACTCTCTACATAGGCATGTACACATACATACCCATATACACAAGTGTAAGACACACGCGCGTGCGCACGCACACACACACACACACACAGATCAGCCCACACCCGTGGAGTTGCTCTGGGTACCATGTTTTCAGACGTCATGAAATGAGAAAATGAGGACTGTGGTATAAGGCACTGGATCCTGAACCACGGTGTCATGGTTTAACGAGACATTGCAATACAAGCTCATGCATTACAGCTTAAGTACCTAGTTGGCGACACTGTTTGTATGGGTTCTAGGATTTTTCAGGGAGTGGCATCTAACTGGAAGGAGCAGGTCCTCAGGTCCCCGGGTGTCCTGTCCCTGTGGGGGAGGGGGTCCTCAGGTGTCCCTGTGGGGGAGGGGATCCTCGGGTGCCCTGTCCCTGTGGGGGGAGGGGTCCTTGGGTGTCCTGTCCCTGTGGGGGAGGGGGCCCTAGGGTGTCCTGTCCCTGTGGGGGAGGGGGTCCTCGGGTGTCCTGTCCCTGTGGGGGAGGGGGCCCTAGGGTGTCCTGTCCCTGTGGGGGAGGGGGTCCTCGGGTGTCCTGTCCCTGTGAGGGAGGGGGTCCTAGGGTGTCCTGTCCCTGTGGGGGAGGGGGTCCTAGGGTGTCCTTCCCTGTGGGGGAGGGGGTCCTTGGGTGTCCTTCCCTGTGGGGGAGGGGGCCCTAGGGTGTCCTGTCCCTGTGGGGGAGGGGGCCCTCGGTGTCCTTCCCTGTGGGGGAGGGGGCCCTAGGGTGTCCTGTCCCTGTGGGGGAGGGGGTCCTTGAGTGTCCTGTCCATGCCTGCCTACACCACCCCACCCCCATCTCATCCTCTGCCTCCTGCCTGCTTGCCACAGGTGTTCTTGCTCAGCCGCATGGCTAGACCTTTGGGACCATGAGCCACAGTAGCCTGTCCTTCTCCAAGCTCTTCTATCAAGTGTTCTGGTCACAATTACAAAACCCAGCTAACTTAGCACTAAAAATAGTGTCATTGCAGTAACTAAGGGTGTGGCGCTGGACTGTGGGAAGAATTTGGAAGTTTGGAGAAGTGGGCTGGAGAAAGCCTGGAATTCTGTATGTAGCGCTCAGTGGACGCTTGTATAGTGTCCAGCACTCGTCCTCCGAACAGAAAGAAAGCTTAAAACGGTGACTAAGACCTCAGATTTGCCCCTGTGTGGCAGCAAAAAAAGCTTGACATTTATGTCTCATTATTTGCTCTTCAATATTGCAAGTGTCGCGTGTGTTCTCCTGTAGGTAGTCCAGGTAATAAGTATGTTTGTGGTTTCTTTCTTTCTTTCTTTCTTTCTTTCTTTCTTTCTTTCTTTCTTTCTTTCTTTGATTGTTTTTGAGACAGAGGGGTGGAATCCTATGTAGCCTGGGCTGGGGTAGATTTGAACTCCCGCCTCTGGCTCACAGGTGCCTGAACTCTCTGCTTACCTAGGAGAGAAGGTTATGGATATGTTTGAGGGTACCGCCTGTCTCCGCACGGGACACTGCCCGTGAACAAAGTACAGGAAGCCCCCGTACTCACACAGCCAAGATTTGTGGTCTGTACAAGCCTGGTACTTCCTGCCCCCGGTGGCTTTAGGTTACAGCGTTTCTCGGTTACCGCCCCTGCCTCGGCTCGCCTTCCCTGTGGCTGATGCTGCCTACGGTAGCCCCGGGCTTCCCAGCACATGTGGCCTCTGCAGAACAGTCCAGAGTGCCAGCAGCCAGGTGCACTGCCAGCACCAGAGCTGTGGCATCTGGAGTAAGACTCCAGTGATGCACTGGCGGGCACGTGTTTGCACACGTGACTGCCCCACACCCTTCCTCCAGGATCGCCCTGGACACGGAGTGTGGCCACCGACCTCAGGACCTTTGCCATGGCTTTCTCACCGCCCCAAAGCCCCGCCTTGTCGTCTACTAGCAAGGTTGGATTAGGAGACGTTCGGTCGGGCACTAATGGGGCGCCCCTCTGGGCGTCTCTGTGCACGTTTCCAGAGACTTAACTGAGGAGGGAAGCCCACCCTGATGTAAGCAGGGCCCTCCCGTGGCTGGGGAAAAGGAAGATGGTCCCTGAGCCCCGGCTCCGAGTCCACCGAGATGTGCAGAGCGTGGTCCCACGACTGCACAGTGATGCAGGTGCACCAGAGGACAACCCCAGAGATACGATCCTTGAAATATATCTCCTCTACCTCACAATTTCACGGGTGCTGGGGAAGCCTTGTGCTCGCCAGGCAAATGATTTATCAGCTGAGCACTCAGCCTCTACTCCACTCAGACTCTTTGTATTTTGTTTTTGGGGGTTTTGGGGGGTGGGGGGAGCAGGGTCTCATGTAGCCTAGGCCAGACTCAAACTCCATAGCCCAGGATAACCTTGAACACTTCTAGTGCTCTGGCCTCTGCCTTCCAACTGCCTGTTCTACCAGATCTACACTTAATAATCTTTTGTTATCAGATTTGACCTGGGAATAGAAATTAACCGATTCTGGTCATTTCTTTTTTTTTTTTTTTTTTTTTTTTTTAGAAGCGTTGAGCTTTCCCGCAAAGTCACGTGGAAAAAAGGTGGGCTGGGTTTAGGATGAACTTTAGCGTTGCTGGCCCTCAGTTCCCTGATCTCTTTGCAGGTTGCCCGGCTCATGGAGATGGGATTTTCCAGAGGGGATGCCTTGGAGGCTCTGAGGGCCTCAAACAACGACCTCAACATGGCCACCAACTTCCTGCTGCAGCACTGACATCCAGCCCAGCTGTTGAATGACAGTGGTGCGTCCCTGCCACCACGTCAGCCTGAGGAACAAGCAGACTCCAGCACGGATGGTCTCAGGAGGGAAGAAAGGTGGTCCCCACCACGGGCCGTCCTCAGCTCCGAGATGGCCACCATTGTAGTGTCAGATAAGTTTGCCATTAAATTAGCATGTATTTTCTACCTTTATTTTTTTACTGGGCCTTTCTCGGTTTGGAGAAGCGTCATTCCCTAACATGCTCATGTGGGTGGCGGTTGCAGGTGTCTGTGGCAGTTTTGTAGCACGCAGACAGGACCCACTGCCGTGATGCTCAAGAGGAGCAGTCGCTGGTCCTCATCTCAGTAGAGGGGGACAGGCCGTGCGACCTCAGACAGGATGTGTCACAGTCTCTGTGTGGACTGTCCTTTCCATTAAAGCTGTGCTCACTCCCCAGCGGCTGTTCTGCGCCTTGGGCGGTGCCCTCCAGGCCTCCATGAGGGAGGGAGCAGGAGACGAGACCCTCTGGCTCAACCCCTACCCGCTTTCAGTAAAGAAAACGGCCCAGCGCTGCCCAGCTGCCCAGTACTTAGGTGGGGTTTGCTTTGCTCAGAATGTCCCTCAGGCTGAGGGGTTAGACAAGGAACAGACATAACAGCTGCTTTCTAGAGACCTGTGGGGCCCGTGCAGGGAGCACCGGGCTGGCTGGCATGGCTCAGCGCCAGGAGAGAAGAGCTGCTCATCCTGGCCCGCAGGCCCGCTTGGGCTAAGCTGCTGGCCCTGTGCACACACCACCAGCTCTTCCCCTGCAGATTATCCCCAGCCCCATCCTTGTCCCCTTGTGGAGGGTGAGGCACCACCCTCTGGCGGACACAGTTAGGGAGGAGGCAGCCCTGTGAGCAAGAACAGCTCTAGGAATTGATTGTCCTATAAGCAAACTGCACTGGGCGTGTCCTGTGGGTGTGTCCTGTGGGCGTGACCTGTGGGTGTGTTCTGCAAAATGAGCAGCAATGTGTCAAATTGATGCGAATTTAGGTGTGTGACACGTACAATAAAGTTCATATGTGTTTTGCTTTTCAATAATTTTTATTAGACGTCTCTAAGTAAAACTTTATTCTAGGCAGTTCCACCATAAAGGAAAAAATGGAGCCAGACTAGCCAGGTTTCTTGAGAAGGCTGAAGGCCTGTGCAGTGAGTGTCCCCTTCTGTCACATTGTCACTATGGGCAGCGCTGACGGCTGTCACTGCGCCGAAGCCTGTGATTCTGAGCCTGGAACCCTGCCGCGCAGAACAGGGTTACGTGACTCTGCAAGCCTAACTCAGTGTGTGAGGACAGTGGCCACCTTCCTTCCCTGACCAAGGCCATGTGACATGCGCCTGAGCACAGGACACTCTGAGACCCACCCTCTATTAACTGCCGAGACAGGGAGCCACAGTCCACAAACATGCACACACACTCACACAGACACACAAACATGCACACACAGGCACACGTGTGTACACATGTGCGTGCACATACACACACGCACACATGCACGGACACAGACACACAAACATGCACACACAGAGACACACAGACAGGCACATGCGTGTACACATGTGCACGCACACACATGCACACATGCACACACACACACACTCACACCTCTTGCTTTCTCCGCCTTACCACAGTTCCAGCCAGGGAAAAACAAGCCTTCCCCATAGCCACAGTCTCACTGACTGGCATCCAGTTAGAGACTGGGTTCCAGAAGGCAAGGGCTCCCTGCTAACTGGGATTATGTTTCAGAGAGACGCCGCCCTGCCCCAAGAACCCTCCGCTTCAGTCCTGTAGAGGGTCGATGGCCAAGTGGCATCCCCTGCTGAAGACTCAGTCTTGGGGCCTTCCTCCAGAGGTGCGGCTGCCAAACCGTGTCCTTGTCGCCTGTCGCCCTGCAGGTTCCCACTCGCATGCCCGGCACGTGCCTGCCTCTCACTCCCGCACACGCTCTGCCCCGGGTTACCACCCTGCTCACTCTTACCTCCTGCACGCAGTGACAAGTGCGGCCTTTCCTGGCAGGACTGTGAATGCCTGAGGACATCTCCACCTTGTCGAGATTCCTGGGACTCTTTCGGGTCCACGTCACCCCGAAAGGAAGGCCACAGCAAAGCGCGAGGGTGCTATTTGATTGGGTCTAGAAAAGCCGTAAGGCTGTTGGCTTTGTGCAGATGGTTGGCCGTTTTCAGGCAAACACATCCCAGACTGGGATGGGAAGGGACTGGGGGAAAGTCATCCATAGTGGATAAGTATGTCTTCCCACGGCTGTCACTCGGTGCTGTTGACAAAATGCCTGTCAAAAGTGACTTCAGTTTGTTCTGCCTCTGGGTGTGGGGAGTGGAAGGCACAGCTGTAGGAGCAGGAGGCAGCCGGTTATGCCCAGCGAGTGAGCGTCCGCCTTCAGGAATGGGCTGAACGCTGTGCTTAGCTCTCTCTGCTTTTCCCAGCCCATGGGATGGGGCAGCCTACATTTTGGGTTGGATACCCAGAGGCGTTTCCATGGTGATTCCAAATCCACACACGTGTCACCAAGGAAAATTGACTGTTGTGATAGCTAAGGGAACCCTGCTTCTCAAGTCCCAGCTTAAGCAGACAGCATAGGATTAGAAAGCAGTAACTCCTGGCAAACCGAACACAAAGCTGTTAGCACACCCCAATGTCGTTTAGATGTTTTCTAGGTCACTGGGTTCGTGTTCTTCTCACAGCTGTTGTTAAATTGAATGGGAGTCTCTAAAACCGTAAACTCAAGCATTACACAGCTAGCAACTGGTGTATCATTTGTGAGATTACTTTCTTCAGGTCCCCTGACAGATGTAGTGTTTTATGAGGACATAGACCCAGAACGTTGGGCTAAGATTGGGCCCAAAGAAAATTTTAGTTCTGAAACTGAAATCTTAGGTGAGGGGAGCTAGACTCACGTGAATTTATGAAATTCCTTAATTTAGCTGTGTGTAGCAGAGAGCCGATCCCAGAGGCTCGATTTTAACGCTGCACTCCGGAGCGGTGGGGACCAAAGCAGAGAGAGGGTGGAGGCTGGACTGGGCTAGAGGTGCATACCTAGAGTATCAGTCTGGAAAGAGGTAGGCTGGAGAGCTGGGCTGGGAGGATAAGGGGCTTGTTAGGGACGGGAGAGGAGAGGATAGGGTTAATGGCATCCTGGCACTAGGAACTCTGGGGGAGGCTGGAGAGTCAGCAGAGGGCAGCCCCTGTGGGGAAAGCAGGGGGGGGGGTGAGGGGGAACACCTTACAGAAGTGAGGAGGAAGAGCAACACAGACTCCAAGACCCAGGCCCCAGAGAGCTGTCAGGAGGGGCCACCGAGAATGGAGAGGGTTCACTGAAGACACCAGAGGGAAGCCCTCTGTCTCCAGAGCTAGAGGGAGGAGACCGGGCAAGAATGAAGAATAAACTAGGAGTGCTGACACAGGGGTGTAACTCCAGCACCCAGGGAGGCAAGCCTGGCCGAGAGTGAGAGCCTGAGTCCAGAAATGGAGGGGGGGAGGGAGAGGGAGGGAGGGGAGGAGGAGGGAGGGGAGGAGGGAGGGGAGGAGGAGGGTGGAGGGAGGGGATGGAGGGAGAGGAATGGAAAGGCTCCTCGAGTTTTCCTACTTAGCAGAGAAGAGGCCGTGGGTCTGGGGCCCTAGGGATGACTGATCTTCGGACATGAGGAGAGCCCAAGGACCCATTGCTGCCGGTCAGCTCTAGGGCCCTGGTCTGCCACTGTGTTCTGGAAGTTTGGAAGGCTTAGAGCCTTAGCGATTCACGGAGTTCTAAGAAACTTGCAAGGATGTTCTGAGCTACTGTGGAGTTTGAGGAAACATGGACTGAGCGGAAGAAGAGGAGTCCTGGCCCTCGAGGAGTGTGGGAGGTGCACAGAAATCCTCTCAACCAGGCACCGTTTCTAGGCCCTCAGAGGTACAGACGCCAAAACCTTGATGACTCTGAGGAGCTGCCTCCAGCTGACCTGACCCAGACATTCCAGAGCCATCCATCACCTTTACCAGAGCAAAGTGTAGCGTGACCCCATCAGCAGAAGCAAGAAAGGGTGACCATTGCTCTCTCAGACGTGACTGGTGTCCACGTCTCTCAGGCAGGACAGTACCCCACCGCAGTGACACGCACACACGCGCGCACGCACGCACGCACGCACACACGCACGCAATACGGTGACATCTGTTCCCACTTTCAAGTTCAGGGTGTTTGAACTGAAGAGGCCCCCCCTTATGTGAGCCATACTTTCTGAGTGAGAAGATGGGGTCCAGGAGGGCAAAGGGAGCCTGGTCAGGTCAGCGTGAGGCCGGAGCCAGCTCCCCTGCAGCCTTGCCTGTCCTGAGTCCCTGGCCAGCTACTGCTGGCCTCACCACAGTGACGCCACTCCCTTCTGCTGCTGTTGGCTGGAGAAGACTGAAGGACAGGCCTCCTTGGGGAACTTGAGACTCCCCAGGGATTGTCCTTACCAGGCCTAAGAACACAGCAGGCCCTGACTGCTAGCTAAGGGTACCACAGAGAAACAAGGCCACCTGTCATCCTATGAGGCCAGTGTCTTTCTAGAAAAACCCATTAGCCCGTGTGCAACAGGTGTCCCCAACACACACACACACACAGATCTGTGAGTACAGGAGTGAGCTAGGCTTTCTCCTAACACAAGGATGATGACTTCCTCAATAGGGTTGAAGGCTGTGCAAGATCTTAGGATCAACACTTGAGTTTACATTTGACCTGCTGGGAACCTTCCTTCCCTGGTTTAGGTGCAAACAGCATCCACCCCATCCTGCTAAAGGACTCAACCACAAGCCAAAGTATAGTTCTACTGAAGGCACCCTAGGGAAGCAGTGAGTTTGTTACAGAGCATGGGTGAGGGTTTGCTGATCAAAGTGGTTCTGGGGTGGGGCTGGGGGTGGGTGAATTACTGATAGTCGCCCCAGAATGAGTGATGGCTTCCCCTTAGAGGTACACATGAAGGCTCCTTTCGCTGTCCTGGGAGCCTCTAAAGCCTATACTCTTACCATGAGGTACGTGCCATCAGGGCAGAATTAAACACAAATGGCTGGGATGGGTAGCCAGACAGGGTCCAACAACCTTCCCTGCCTACTCCGTCTAGGGAAAGTAGGCAGTTCACAGACCAGAATCGGACGCAGCTGATCTCATGAAGTTTTGCTTAGACGATATTGCCTTACAAA